TCCCTTCCCCTACACAAGTCGTTCAGTCGACTTCAGGGGTTGAAATTCACTCGTAAGGGGGTGAATTAGAGAGAGTATTATTATTATTATTATTATTATTATTATTATCGTTACACACTGCAAACAGGCCCTTTATTGCAGTTAGGATTGTGAAGCTTTAAAATCTTTTTAAATTTTGTTTTCGAGACTCGGAAAATCGTCATCAAGCCACATTTTTATCTTACTTAAACCATCTTCAGCTGTCAGAAATACTTCTTTCCAGCTCTCCCTCTTCAAGCGAATGATAGTATTATCTGCATAAGAAATAACTTTTTCAGTAAAATTGGGCCTTGTGCCGTTCCTTGAGGCACGCTCCTAGAAATGGTCATTGGGTCACAGAGTAGGTGGCCAATTCTAACAAACTGGGTTTTCTGTGAAAGATAGTCCCTGAAAATGACCAACTTTTATCCTCTTATTCCTATTCTTTTTGATCTTTCTAATAATAATATGTGATCAATAGTGTCAAATGCCTTGGCTAAGTCTAAGAATATCGCTAGACATTTTTTATTGTTAATACCGTTAATAATATTTTGCACAAAGTCTAGAAATGTATCTTGACAGCAAAGGTTTTTCCTAAAACCATATTAACCGTATTAAGTCAGGTCTTTGTTTCTTCCCTTGTTATTAATACATTTAATTAAGAATCAATCAAATTATTCTCCCTAACAACTAATAGATTAAAGTTAGTATCTCCAGCAAATATTTCTATCTCACACTTTTGTAAATTAAACAAATAATTTTCTAAATTCTAAATCGTTGATGGTGGTCTATAATATGTAGTAACTCCCTAATGTATGCTGTTAATTTCACCTGTTAGTCTTGTGTGTGTATGTGTGTGAAGAAAAAATTAGCCTCGGACATTGTCCATTAGCCACAGAATGATTAAGTCAATCAAATGTGTAAACGAGGAAACTAGATAACTATATCTCTATTTTGGTGTCTAGAATAAACTTAATTAAAATATCGAAAACATATTTCTTGTTGCTTGCCAGAAGTGTTACCACATTTAAAGGTAATGGAAAGTTTTAAAGACATAAAGAATTAGAGACTTCTGAAATAAATATTGACTTAAATATTAATACTTTATAGTCATATTTATATATAGGGAGGAGGTTACTATTAATACCTCTTAGTCTTAATACACTAATTTCGCTAAATTTGAGTATGGTAAAGTTATTATTAATATAAAAAATAGTACCATCATTTTTATTAGTTAAACGTTGATTCACTATAGTACAAAGTAAAACTTGGAATAGCAAAATGTTTTACTTTATCAATTACATTAAACGTTTCCAATTTTTCCAAGTATTTCTAGATTAATGACTAATTCATCAAAATTTTTCCTCGGTGATCTTATATTGTAACGAACTATGTTTACTAGTCTTTCTTTAGATATAAAATTAGAACCTTCTTCAATAACAGAAAATAGCATAGTTCTTACTTTTTCTTCATACTTGTCACTTAAATTCATGAAAAACTTAACCAGAGAATAAAACTGAAAAAGCAGTCAACAGATCCTTAAAAAGTATTATAATTGCCTTGTGCATTAGATGAAAGTAAATATGAAAGGTTGGCAAATATCAAAATGTAAATAAAAGGATATTCCTATGTAGTTAGTTTTAAACAAACAAAAGACAGTAACTATTAAATTATTTTAATAGATAGTGTAATTTTTGTACTGACCACTTTTAACTCAGTTTTCACCATTTGTTTTCCATATAGTTGTTGAAATCATCCATATTGTTTATAAACACTTTCCTGCTGTCTTTAAATATAATAATTCACCCATTTCGAGTTCAGCACGAATTGCTATTTATTAAAATTTCAAATTTCAATTGTCGCAACTAGTTTCAGCCTACAAGGCCATTCTTCAGCAATACAAAAAAACATTGTCTTGTATTCAGACGTATTTAAAATTTTAATTTTCACCGTAACGTAAAATAAAATGCATAAACGCATAAATCACTACAAACTATTTTAATTACGTTGTTTGTTTACCAAAAAAATGACACACTTTTCTGAGCTTGATTAAAAGTGGAACTGTCTACTCAAATCGGCACAAATATCTAGTCTGCTATACATATTTATATATCTCTTAAATTAATTTGATATTATGTAATGACAATACAAATTATAACGTATCCGTCGACTTTCGATTTTGAATTTGCATAAAGATTTAAATCGAATCAACTCAACTTACTTTTTGCATAAAATATTTCCATAATAGTTATTTATGCAATTAGTTCAAAAAGTGTTTTTGATATCGGACGAAAAAATTTACGACTGAGGTGGACAGCACCTCTGAAAATACGTTTGTTGCACATATTGCTTGTAGGATTTTTATTTATAATCTATAAGAAATTAAAAATAGTAGTACTAGGCTATAAGCGGAAAGTAACGAACGAATTCGAAGTTCATGAAGTAAAGCGATTGTCGGAATTTTATAAAAAAAAAAGTGGCAATGACAATAAACCAATAAATTCAAGGAAAATAATTTTATATGTCTATACTAACAGCTATCAAATAAAAATTGGATAAAAGTTGAAATCTAGTCTGTTGATTGGACAGCTTTTTTGGAAGCCAATTTTGTTGCTGGTAATATTGTATTTGAGAAAGAATTAAACAACAATGATGTACCAGAACATTTTAATCAAGTTGCTGATAACCAAAACCGAATAGATGTAAAAGAACTTGATAATACTGAAAATGCTGAAAAAACAAGTCAGCAAAAGAGAGTCAATTGTCCCAAAGTAACAAACATTATCTTTATGTTTCTATCGATTAAATTTGTTCAATCCCGCAAATACAATGGAAACAAAAAGAAGTTGTCATTTTAAGCAGTACACCATACAAAGACTACTTGGCAACTCAACAAGCACAATAGAAAAACAAAGCAAAGCAAATAAAAAAAATATCTTCATATGCAAAAAGGAAGTCCAGTAGTTCAAGAATATCGAAATCTGTTGTGACCCAAATGATTGGTTTTGTCACATTTGTGAAGTAAACAAAGTTGAAGATATGGTTCAGTATCTAAAGTGTAAAAAATGGGCTCATAAATCCTGTGCGGGAAGACGCAAGAAACTGAAAAAATACAAATGAGAAAAATGTGTTTAAAAAAATTGTAATTATCACTTTACAGGTAAACCTACTTACTGGTCCTGGTTCCCAACAAAATCCCAGACTAGCTAGATTTCAAGAAAAGTTTCTTTATTGACCTTGAGTAAAACAGTTATTTAAAGAGCAACCCGAACTACTCTTATAAAAAAAACTACCGACTGGGAAAGCTTCAGAAGACGATCAATCCGAATATATGTTTGAAAACTACTAAATAACTTGATGAGGAAGTTGAAAACTTTACCAAAATCGTTCAAATAGTTGCTTACAATAACACCAAAAATTACACCCATTTTATAAAGGGAATAAAGTAGCCACTTGAAATCAGAGAATGTAATAAAAAAGAAAAGCAATAAGAAGATGGCAACAATCTAGAGACATATCTAATAAATCCATATTAAACAATAAAATCTAAAAACAGAAGAGACATTCAAAAGCTCAAAGAAGAATCAACAAACTCATAACTACAGAACCTTCCACAAATGAAGACACAGATTACTTACTCTCTGTGGAAAGTCACAAGAAAAATTAAAAGACCTTTTAGCTTTTTCCTTCCCATTGGAAGAAATAACAAAATATGGGCCAGGAACAATAAACAGAAAGCAGACTTGTTCGCTAAACATTTGTAAAATATTTTTACACCCAATCAGATGCAGGAAGAAATTAGTTTGCCTATAAATCTGAAAAGAGCACCCTGGTTACACCGAAAGAAGAAGCAGAAGAAATTAGAACTAACCTTAATCCGAAGAAAGCTTCGACTTAACTGGTAAAATATTGGAACAATTGTTTAGAAAACGAATTGTCATGCTAATATACTTGTTTAATGCAGCTTACAGATTGAAACATGTTACTTCATTCTGAAAAGTTGCAAAGGTATTAATGTTGCTAAAACCGCGAAAACCGCCATCTTATAGGCCTTTTTCTCTCTTACCAATTTTGTCAAAATTATTTGAAAAATTACTACTAAAAAGTTTAATACCTTCGATAGAAGATAAAAAATTGATACTTGATTTCCAATTCCCTTAAAGGAAAGCAAGTCTGTTCTGTGATATTTTTAGACGTTATATTAATATTCTTACAAGAAAGTGGAAAAGGTTTGATCAATCTCTGATGAGATCATTCAAATCTTACCAAAACCGTCATTTTAATTATGTCTTTTACAACGGCTTTACATCCTCACCCTTTTCAGCAACATCTGGAGTTCCACAGGGCTCCAATTTGGAACCACTGTTATTTAGTATATTTATAAATGACTTGACAATAAATGTATAGGATGTCATCACCTGCTGGTCTCAATTTCATCAATTCAAGACTACTATTTAGGATTTCTTTGTAGTATGGTAAAATTATTTTGTCAAAATATTGTTTGACATTTATTTAATGTATTTTGTCCTGTAAATGGATTAACCTGGTTGGAAGTAAATTATTATTTTTTATTTATTTTGTTTATTTATGTGATCAACTTAATCAATTCACTGAGAGTAAAAAGGAACCTAATAAATAAGTTGAAAAAAGTAACGAAAGATACGCTTTAATTTCCCATTCATCAAATTCTTTCATAACAAAGCTACACCTATTATGTGAAAACTGTCCCATTATTTATTAGGTTCGTTTGTGCCGCGATGCGTTGAATTATATAAATATTTAATTAAAGCTTTTTAATTCATTAAGAGATGAATAAACATTTAGATTTTCTTAAATATTCACCATTTTACATATTTTATTTACATCTCCACACCTGTGCGATAAAGTGACACTAGTATACCTTATCTCAAAATGGGCATTTAAAATTTACCAACGTTATTTAAAAATACAAATGCTTTAGTATTATTAATATAAAAACTTACATATAAAGGAACATCTGTTGGTTTCGTAGGATATCGGACATCTCCCTCCTCTACGGCCTTAACCCCATAGTACTGCTCCCATACACTGGGTTTATCGTCATTCACAGCCGTCATTAACGTCTTCTTTGATATTGTCCCGATTTTCTTCGATTTCTTCAACAAGCCTTCGTTGCCAGCCTTTGCTCTGCACAGGGTCCCATATATCAAGGCGTTCCTAACTATATTCGGTACACTAACTAAATTGTCATGAACAAACACAGGTACATTTTGATGTTCTTTTAAAGAATCACTGAAACCACTACTAGAAGACCTCGATGGTAATTCGTACACTTCTTCAGTTTCTGACGAAAGCGTCCTTATCCTACTACTTGACGTTTTGCTGGAGTTGCCGCTCGAGGTGGAGTTGCTTAGTGCCCTCAAAACTGAGTTTTTCTTGCGACAGTTGGTTAGATTTACGCAAAGTCTTCTCATCTCTTCTTCAGTTGACACTTTTAACGCTTCCAGTTTTAAGCGAATTCTCGAATCGATAATCTTAAGCATGTTTTCAGGAGGTGTCGTGTTTTTACCTGAAATATTGAGAACTATATTTAAAAAACAATAATAATAATAATAATAATATAATAATAATAATAATAACTGATACAATAGCAGTAGATCAAGCTATTAAAAACCAAAGAAATATGAGCATGGCCTATATAGACTATAAAAAGACCTTCGATTCAGTGCCTCATTCATACTTAATCGAAATATTAAAGATCTATAAAATTAACCCAGCCATAACAAACTTTTTAGAACATATAATGACCAACTGGTCAACGGAGTTGCATTTATCAGTAGACAAGACAACTCAAAAATCAGGATCGATCAAAATCAGAAAAGGAATATTTCAGGGAGACGCACTGGTTCTGTAGGGCTTGAATCCACTAAGTCGAACATTAAACAACACGCAATATGGCTTTGTTATTAAGAACGAACATGGTAATAACTGCAAAATATCCCACCTTTTATATATGGACGATTTAAAAATATATGCAAACTCTAGAACAAAACTTAATACTCTACTAAAAATTACTAAAACTTTCAGTGACTCTATTCATATGGAATTTGGACTAGATAAAGGCAAAATAATTGATCTTGAAAAAGGGACCTTAAATAACATTAATGATTTTAATATGGACAACGATAAGGTCATAGAAAGTCTTAGCCCAGGAGACAATTATAAATACTTAGGAATCATGCAACTCAGACGAATCACCACAGTAAAATTAAAGTAAAGCTAATAGATGACTTTAAAAAAAGAATATGTAATATGTAAAACAAACTTCACCAGTGCAAATAAAATAAAATAAAAGCTATAAATACATATGCCATACCGACACTAACATAGTCCTTTGGTATTATAAAATGGTCTGCTGCTGACCTGGAATCTATATGTCGAACGACTCGTGTAATATTAACAAAACATCGAATGCACCATCCCAACTCAGCTATAGAAAGAATATCATTACCGATAGATGTGGGAGGTGTAGGAATACTAGATATCCACCGCCTTCACCACTCGAAAATTAAGTCTCTGAGGCAATACTTCCATGAAAAATTCACTAATCAGACCTTGTTTAGAGCAGTTTGTCAAGCAGATACAAAGAGCACACCTTTAAAACTAAGTGATATTAAATATGACCCTAAAGATAAAATTTTTTCTATCCAGTCCCAAATACAAAGATGGAAGCAAAAAGAATCGCACGGTAGTCACGCACATCACTTATTCCACGAAAATACCGATACTGAAGCATCAAACTTATATCTAAGGGGAACTCTATTTGCTGAAACTGTCGGATTCATAGGCGCATGTAGTGACTTACATTCACTACATACATCTTCTTCACACTTGCATTACATCACTTGCGTCACACGCGTCAAACACGTCATACAAGTTAAAAACCCGTTATCCCTTGACAAACTTTTATTGCACGGCAGTTCTATAAAGACAAAAGATGGAGCTCATTACCTCGTTGCTAGGAATAAAATATTGATGCATACAAATACCTTGGTTTCCAGCAAACGAAACGAATAAAACAAAGAGATCCGACAACGGGCTATGGAGGTATACTTAAAAAGGGTAAATGATATCCTCAAATCCTCCTTGAACGAAAAAAATGTATTTAAGGAACAAAAATGGAGATCGGGGAAATTGAAAGAGCCACACGTAAGTTAATGACAAAAAATCGAATAGATCACCCCATATCGGCATTAGAACAACTAACTCTTCCCCGCCACGAAGGAGGACGCGGACTGGTCGACATCAGTAGGCTTTGTCAGAAACACGCATAAACTACAAAAATGTTTCTGTAAACAAGACACCGGCATCTAGCATGCTATAAAAAAGTCAGACAACAGGTACACACTCTTAGACCTGTTACATGATAACAAAGAACTAGTCTCGGATGAAACATATCCAAGCGAAGAAAGAGGACTGGATTTCAAAACCCCTCCATGGTCGACATGCAAGTATCCTCAGCTAGCCTTATGTCGACACAAAGGCATCGAATGGATGGTTAGGACGTCCTGACATATTTGCAGAGACAGAGGGTTTTTGATAGCCGTCCAAGACCAGGTCATAGCTACTAAAAACTACCGTACATAATAAGGGCTCAAGTCGAGGATGACTTATGTAAAAAGTGACACCAACAACCTAATATCATCCAACAAGTGCTTGCCCAACCATGGTACTGTTAGAATATCTGAATAGACACAATCAGGTAGCTAAGATTGTTCATCAAAGCCTGGCTAGGATATATACCTTCTTAACGAAGAGTTGCCATATTAACAGTTCGAAATATAGTAACAAAATGGACAGAGGCGGAAGGACTAAACTGTAGCACAAACAAATCTGACATAATTGCATTCACCCGCAGGCGGAAATTGGAGGGACTAGGGCCTCTAAACCTAAGAGGTGCAAGCATCAAGCTTAAGGGGGAGGTAAAATATCTTTGGGTTATGATTGACTCGAGACTTACATGGAACCAGCATCTAGAAAAAAACACAAGGAGAGCGGAAACCTCGTTAATGATGGCAAAGCGATCCTTTGGAAAAAAAATGGAGGTTAAAACCAGACATGGTATATTGGGTGTATAATATGGTGGTGAGACCGATAATAACATACGCAGCTTTGGTATGGTGGCCAAAGACACAGCAATGGAAATCAATAACGAGGCTAAGCAAGGTACAAAGACTTGCCTGCCTCTGAATACCGGGGGCAATAAAAACAACCCCCACAGTTGCAATGGAAGCACTAATAGGACTCCCACCTCTTCACTATGTGATACAAGGGGACGCAAGGTCACATGAGTATCTCAAGGTTAGTGACAGGAGACGTGCTAGACATAAGATCAGACCACATAACCAAGAGGTATTCTTTTAATACTCCATTTGAGGTTTTAATACAGGAAAGAGCGGAGATCACCATAAGGAAGCCCGAAAGAGCTGTCGAAAATCAGCATATTCAAATAATGTCAGCTAAGCGGCACTTAAGGCCATATCAAGTCAGAAAGTTACGTCGAGGCTGGTATGGGAATGCATCGAAAAACTAAGAACACTGGTAGACCGAAATAGAGTGAAACTATTTTGGGTGCCAGGTCACCAAGGGACCGAAGGCAACAAAAAGGTTGACGAACTTGCAAAAAAAAGGTCAGAAGAAACACCAGAACCAGACACAAACCCAGGAGTACCAAAAAGTACAGTTCGGGATTTCATAAACGACTGGATTCGGGAACAACATATTAACTATTGGGGAAGCCCCCGAAACACATGGAAAGGCCTTCGTAGGCAGACCATGTCCCAAAATAACTGGAGAACTACTCTTTATGAATAGGAATCAGTTAAAAGTGACTAAGTATGCTCTAGAACAAAATTGGCATGTACAATGGGGAACTCATGTGCCGAATATGTCACAACAAACCAGAAACGGCCAAACACATACTGTGCGAATGCGAAGCTCTAGATCGCAAAAGACAGACATTTTTTGGACAACCATACGTTGATCCAACAACGTATAGAACCCACTCACCCAAGGATCTGTACAAACTTGTACAAGGTTCAAAGTGACAGAGTGGGTGCTATGAACTAACATGGGGTAAAACCACTGATCTGTATTATTTTATTGGATAGGATATAGCCCCCTAAAAACGTTCCGAAAAATTGGCCGATTTGGGCAAATAATATGGCGGACCGGATGTTATTTAACGTAACCTCTATTTCCATTTGTCATCACATTTGTCATTTAATTGTGTCAACAAGCTACGATGAGATGTTTTTATTGTGGAAAACAAAGTAAAAAGAGTATGAAATAAACAATAAACGTTCATTCCTGAAGACACAATATGCTTCACGTTTCCATTTTTATATTTTCTTTAATAAAAAATCAAATCATGGGTGAACTTTCCCGAAGGACATCGCCCGCAAAAGGAATAGAAGAAGAATAAGAAGAAAAACTAATAAAATTATAGGTTAGGTATGTCAAATTTTCCCAAATTTCGGTTCTGTGAACCCACCATAATTTGCCCAAATCGGCCAGCATTGTTGCACTTCCGGTCTCCTTGGTGGAACGATTTTTTAGTATGTTAAACATAGCCTATATCCTATCCAGTAAAATAATACAGATCAGTGGGTAAAACACAATAAGCCAATAGGCTTTAGTATTATTCGGATACATAGTCCGACGAGCCCAGGAGAAAAAAAAAAAACAGTTCGAACCTAAACCTGTGTTGGAAAACCATACCCACATGTTGTATTGGGATCGATCAGTACTAACAGACCGCCCAATAGTCCACAATGGACCTGACATCATCAGCGCCAATAAATTAAAAAATAAAGTTGTACTGATCGACGTGGGAATCCCAAACAATATTACAACCTACTACGCTGAAAAGGAAGCAAAATACTAGCGACTAGGACAGGAAATCCGACAAATGTAGCGACAAGAGAGTGTTTCTGTAGTCCCATTAATACTTTCGTCAACCAGCGGAATACCAAGGTCGCTTACTAAAAATTTAAGAATGTAGGGAATTGCCGACAAAATGGCAGCTATCCATAAAGCAGTGATACTATCCACGACCTCTATAGTACGCCCATTTTTAAATGTAACTACATAAACCATATGCAAGCATCTTGCCCTGGCTGATTCTTGAATTAAGCACCTATCTTATAGGAACATTTAATTTTTGATATCTTAAATTATTTTATATTAAATTCTTACCTTCCAAAGTTTCATTAATACCATTGAGGATTTCTAGAAGTAAATCTTTCACGGATATATCTATGCATGTATCCAGCGGTTTAACATTCTCCGGCCTATAGTTTAAACTAGTATAAAGCAGAAGCGCATCGTCAACTATAGAATCATACTGATCTAGCAATTTATCTTGATGTGGCCAAATGGGTCTTGGCACAGAGAGATCATCTTCACCTTCGGGAATTGTTGTAAGAGTTCCTTCTAACGAAGAATTCGATTGAAATGGCACTGATTTATTACTTTTTACTCCCCGGGCAGCGATTTTTATGGATTTAACGAAAGCTGGATTCCGTTCGAGTAAAACACCAACTTCTTCCATTAATTTAAGATGTTCTTGATACGTATCTTGGAAACTGTCCGTATTGCTGTCTCCGTATCCTGAAGATGATGACTTTTCCCTAGAACGAGCAGGTCTGATGGGGTAGGCGGGGCAAACAGGTACTTTTTGAGAGGCATTTGTTGTACTAGGTAGGAACAATGGATTGACCCTGAAAAAAAGTAAGACCAATCAGTTTCATAGTTTAAGAGTAAACATTTTCGTACTTCAAATGTAAGTATATGGTTAATGGGAAGAGGATGTGCCAATAAGATATTTTGCAATTTGCCTTTTTATGGTAGGTATAATGTGATATCCTGCATTTTGTGAATAACGTCTTTCATTACGATAAGCAATAAACAATTACCTTTGAAATCTTATTTTTAAGTTGCAACATTATGTATTTACGTTATAGCTACATGATTTAAAAGAGCATCTATCGTCTGTATTTGTAAAACATTTTGATTTGTGGGTTTTACCATCACGAAGAGAAATAAGTAGAAAACGGTCGTTGTCAATAACATCATCAACTGTTAGACGAGTTAGGTCATTTCTTCGGCATGCACCAAATATATCAAATAATAAAATTACTTTTGTTGACAGCTATTTTTCAGTGGCGCTGAAGCGTAGCCAGTTATTCATACAATAGCTGCTTTTGTTGAATTATAGACAATTATTTTAAGATACCTAATTCTTTTGACTAGTTAAAAATAAGTTTCATTTAATTTTTTATGTTATGTTATGTTATGTTATGTTATGATTGGTATCACTATTGCAATATACATCCATCGCAGTATGTTTGGGTTACATCCCCATCGTTTACCTGCAATGTTTTGCATACAATTAGGGCTTTTGTGGCCTTATTTACTACTTTTTTCTCATGTGTGTTCCAGAGAAGTTTGTTGTCCAGGGATAGGCCTAGATATTTGACTTCATTTTTCCATTCTACATCTATCCCGTCTAATTTAACGTTTTTGAGATTAAGTTTTCTTTTCCTTGAAAAGGCCACTAGTGTTGTTTTTGTAGGGTTTATACTAAGTCCCACTTCACGTCACCATCTTTTGGTATGTTCTAGTCCTCGTTTGACTATATCACACAGGATATTACTAAACTTGCCACTAGCAAATATGACTATGTTGACGGCATAACCTTGACAGGGTATGCAGAGGTCAGTCATTCTGTATAGAAGTTCGTCTACGATTAGGCTCCACATTAGTGGGGATAGAACTCCTCCTTGTGGACATCATGTGGTTGTGCAGGTGGAGATGGTGTCCTGTCCTATCTGTGTCTCTGCAGTTCTCGTAGATAACAGCTGAGCCATCCATCTAGATGTGATGTTATCTACTCCTCTGTATGCAAGTGTTCTTTTTACAAATTCGTGTGGCGTGTTGTCAAAAGCTCCTTCTATGTCTAGGAAGGCACACATGACCGTTTCTTTGTTTGTTAGTGCATCCTGGATTACGTCAATCAACTGTACCAGGGCAGTTTCTGTAGACCTTCCTGTTGGGTACGCGTGTTGGCTGTGGTGGAGTGGCACCCTCTCCAGGACTTCTGTTCTGATTATCAACAGCCTTCTCCATTGTTTTTAATGCAAAGGATGTGAGGCTGATTGGTCGGAAGGATTTAGGATGTGTGGTATCCCTACTTTTGGAATAAAGGTGACTCTGGGCCTTCTTCATGCTTCTGGTATATATCCCAGCTCCAGACTGCTCCGGGATGGCCGGATTATGTGTGGTAGTAATTCTTTTTGTGCCTGCTGAAGCAGGACAAGAAATATTCCATCCACACCTGGAGACTTAAACAGTTCAAAAGTGTTTACGGCCCATTTTAACCGATTTCTGCTGCATATGTGTTTGGCCACTACAGCGGCCTCTCTTGGGGGCCTCCTTACCTTAGTTGTGTCCTTTATTAGAAAAGGTGTGCTTCCAGGAAAGTGAGTTTCGAGTAAGAGGCGAGCTCTTTCCTCCACACTCTCCGTGAAGCTTCCTATGGACCCAAACGAAGTTTTAAGAAAAATACCTGGGGCTGTGCCTACCCATGAAAAGCTTTATCTTGACGAAACAAAAGATAGATAAAAAAGGAGTTTAAACCTGGGCAGGAAATAGACAGAATAGAGATTGAATGTACGCAGCCAGTTATACAGAATACATCTGAAGACATTAAAAATGCGCCCACTGGAGTCTCCGGAAGAAAACGTCAATGTCCGTACATCGAAATCCGGTGTACCCTCGAAAACAAATAAGAATTCCGCTCCTAAACATTCTAGTGAAGAAGTGAAGAAAGATAAAGACACTTTCGGCTACCTTTGACCCTTCACAGCATCAATAAAGTCGTTATTTAGTCAAATTCTTTAGTTTATTCTTATTCGTCAATAGTATTATCTTCATATATAATTTCAGTTGGTATTGATGATTTACCTTTCTTTCCGTTCACGTATGACCAAAATTTTTTTGAGTTATTCTTCAATTCATTTTCAATATTATTTAGGTAAAGTTGATAAGCAGTTTTTATATTGTGTTGTAATTAAGATATTATAGTTTTAACACGTTGGTGACTATTGAGGCAACCACATTTTTTATAAACTCTATCCTTAATCATTCGAAATATTTGGGCATTGTATTAGGGTGGATATGTACGAGAAGGGGTAATCCTTTTTTGAAGTGTGCCTTTTAAGAACCGATGTAATTTTATCTACAAAATAATTAGTAGTTATTTCGGGATCACTAAGCTGACTAATAAAGTTCCAGTCAGTGTAAAGTAGTTCAGAATATAGAACAGGATAGTTAACTCTTTTTAAAATTAAGTTGCGATGTGTCTGACTTAAAATTAACTGGAAATTGATTATATCTGTTATGAAAACTGAGATCAATGGCTAAGGATGGGCGATAGCTGTCTTCTTTAGTAATGATTTCAATGGCTTTTGAGACAGAACAGTTAATATTAGAAAATATTAAGTCCAATAGTCTGTTTTCTGAATTTAAGAGATTATTGAACTCTACCAGGTCAAAAAAGTTGGAGAAATTAGTAATTAACTTTCATTTCTTAAATTAACAAATTCGGGAACATCAAAATCACCTAGCATGATAAAGTTATGACCGGATAAACATGTAATGGAGGCGACACACTCGGAAAAGATTTCATAGTCTTTAATCCTACATGATGGAGAAATATATGCAGTTAGAACATATACTTGTTTAAAATTAATAGTAATTTTAACAAGAATCATATCAATAAACTTAATATCATGTAATCTCGTACAATACTTTTCCAAATCAATAACAGTAGATGCAAAATTCCTTTCAAGTGCTACTAGTACACCTCCTCCCCTAGATGTATTGATTTCCTAGAAACATCAATCTTTCCTAAAGACATTAAATCGCATAGGATCAAAAAAGCTCAGCACCAAGTCTCTGTTAGAAAGTATCTTGAATATTGAGTAGTAATAGAAGAGTTGCTTAAAATTTCGTATGTTTTTAAACGAAGACCACATACATTTTAGTAGTAAAAAGAAAAATATTTATTTAGATTTGATTGTGGAAAACTGGCGTTTTCTTGTAGTTGCTAGAGGGGTGGATGATAATAATAAATAAGATGGGTATTATGTCCCAAAAATATGGCAAAGTATCCCCGGTTGACATTACTAAGAGAGATGCTTTACCATTTAAAGATGTGCAGTGGGGTGGAAGTTACTACAGTCTTTAATACTTTTAAAAATATTTTATATTTTATTATTGTTCGACGTAATTAAACGTAATATTTCTTCACAGTTTTACTGTTATGTTACAAACTGAAATTTACATCTAATGATGAATTAAGTATATTTTTATACGGCAATAATGTGTGAGGAAACTTTTCTTGATTTTAGATTATGCAGGCTGCGTAAGTTAAATTTGCATCATTAATAAAAGTCACTAGGCGTGAAGCTTAACGGTCGTGAACTTTGAAGCGTTTGCCTGGTTATATAAAATTAAGATAAAATAGCAACAGAAGATTTCTCCTATTTTTATTAAACCGCAGTTAATGTTTTCATACAGGGCGATTCTTGATTGTTTCCTTTTGATAGGAAATTACTCTTATGTAAGAAACATAAATAGTTATTGCGATATTTTCGATTGTAAACACAGTTATTGAAGATAATTAAAACCTGACACAAAATACAAGCTTTTTTGAAAAGGTTGATTAAAAATTAATAGGAGCTCTCCTACAAGAAACGTGTTTTTTTGCTTTTTTGGCCGATCTTAGAAAGTATTTAAAAAGTACCTGGATAGCATTAAATCTTGTACGATGGTGCGGAACCAATCATGCGCGAGTCAGACTCGCAATTGTTTTAATAGAAGCATATATTTTTAAGTGCACCATGTTATTTAATAAGTTTTGAAATAATAAAGACAAGATTCTTTTCAAGTATTGAAAACTGATATACAAAAGAGAAATACAACTGATACCTTATATAAGGACCAATTAAATGTCTATTAAATAAACCAACGCGGATTTTCGTTTGATCAGTAATTAGAACACTTGGAAGATTTTTAAAAAACATGGTTTTAGATATAAAACAGTAAATGAAAGACAAATTTAGGAGGCACATCTATCACTTGGGTGTTAAAAAAAAATCGTAGGTATAAATTATGTACCTTTTTCAATACTGACATAACATTAACGAACTGTATATTAATGACGTATGTTTAAAGATACTTTGCGCCAAATGTAGTAGGTTGTTTCAATCTAAACATAATCCGTTTTATGGGGAATTGATTTTTAAAATTGGGTTTTATTCGTTCTCATAACTTTGATTTACATTTTTTATATTTTTATCTAATATGCAAATGCATAAATATTTCTCATTTTCAAACATTGTATGTATTTATTAAATTTATATATAACCAATTTTATAGTATCTAAACTAGAAAGTAAAACCTTTCCAAATAAACAAATATATTTATAAACAATCATTGCTCATTGCGTGCATATAATCCATTTAAAATGTTATTTAAATATTTTATGTAAATACAGAATTCATGGCATTAATAATATTTAGAGCCAGTAATGGATTTCGTTCAACCTTGGTTTATTTTAAAATTATGAAATTTTTCGCACCGGTGCTTTTATTTACCATATGCTTTGCGATGTAATAAATTTTTATCAATTTAAGTATACAACTAAATAGCCATA